TTTTCTTCTGCAAAAGAAATTCTGGGCCCCTCCCTAGAGAGTCCTGGTCACTTTTTGCAATAATTATCACGAAGGAGAGGGAGGCTCACGTTATTCCCACGGCTCAAGAACAGCTTGTTTGAGGGTCCATCACAAGAAGGAGTGTTTCACTTGTTCTGTGCTTTACAGTGGAACATTTAATTGCCCCAAGGTTTCGTCTGAATTGCCGCTTTCGGGGGACTGAGAGTGTTTTAGATTTCTGGTCTACAGCCTGTCTCACCAGGCGTCACACCAGCTTCAGCGCTTCCGATAGTGTCAGGAATCCCTCGAGAAGACTTCAGTGATGAGAAATAGAAGCACTGAAAGCTCCGCCGCTCAAGCGGTGAAGGTTCGCTGCCACACGAAAGTGTTAGTTGTAGATAAGGGATGTTATCTCCGTATCAAAAGTTTATAAGGCGGTGTGGTGACAAGTAGCACGCTTACCACGCGCGCAGTCCGGAGGTCAAATCCTGGATCGGCTCCCGCCCAGGCCAATCAAGCTCTTCCGGGCGGACGCTCCAGGTTGTTAGTAGGTTGGTATCAGGTTCCTCTAGGAGGATAAGAACACCGATTTCAACACTGGCTGGCCTGCCCAACTCATTGAATAGATCTTGTTTCATTCAAGGAGCGACTATGGTTCCGAATAGAAGTACAATGCGTGCCGCATACCAAGAGTGGTCAAAGGCGAAGACTTCACCCACAGTCGTTTTACAGCTCGCGGTGTGATATAAATAGCAGTAGGTCAATTGGTACCGGGGTACTCATTTTGGCTATTCATTCGGCGCTTTCTAGTAGCCTTGTTCGCAGAAAGTCCCGTCTCATACAGGTTAACAAGGTGTTCTTTATTTTAAATGCCTTATAACTGTGCCGCTCCACCTTATGCCTCCCCATTGTGGGAGTACCGCGACTCATACTAGGAAGGTGTTCCTTGATGAGTATTTTCAGCCATTTCCTGTCATTTTTCTTATTGCTTCCCAAGGCGTAAACCTACATCACTGGCATTGCATTTTTCGGACTACTCCTATACCACTCCTACTTGCGAGCACGCTGATTCCCTCGTGTGGGCATGCGAGTCGCTGATTCCCTCGTGTGGGCATGCAGCCCAGTGTTCTTATATGAACTGCTTGTAAACTCGACTCCATGGCAGGCCTTTCATCAGTTCACAGAAAGGCCTTCACATGAACTCGCCATTAGATCATAAAACTTGTCCTAGTGTTTGTAACGACCGAGGCGCTGTCTAATGTTTTCGCTAGGTATATTTTCAGACCTCCAACTAGACAACTAGCAACCCAACTAGACATCACCGTGCAAGTGTGCTGAGGGTGGTGGAGGAAAATAGGTGCGAGTCGTATATAGGGAAAATTCCCCTCAGTGCCATGGTTTACTCTGCTTTAGATTGGGTCTACGTTAAGCAATGGACGATCTGGGGTCAGCAATTTTAGAGCTCTTGTCTCGGTCAATTGTAGGTCAGATGATAGGTTTCGTTGTAATAGATGCTGATTTTCTGAATGCATTGATTCGAAGGCATAAGGCAAGATGATTTAGAACTTGGTCTAAATTGGTAGTAGGGCTGATATATAGTTGGGGAAATGGCGAAAAGCAATAGTGAAAACGCGTCAACAAACTGCGAATCATTTGTGCTTTGCAAGTGAAGCGATACGAGCAACAGCCTCGATCGGACATTTGTGGGCAGGCTGGCGCGGTGGGCGTCCGGGTCGGTATGTTGAGCCTGATGGGGCGCTATAAGCGTACCTCTATCTGGGAAGGACCCACGCAGCGCCTGCTCAGAAGCGCCAAATTCTGTCCTGCAAGGCGTATCAATACCACACGTCTAGGAGAATTATCGTGCCACTCGCCTTCAAGACACACTTCAAAGGATGAGCCCCTATGCACGGAGTCATAGAGCCATCCTGCTTTCCTCATCGGATTCACTGGAGCTTCCCCCCCTCTGCATCGCCTTAGCAGCAAAGGTACACCAATTAGAAAGACACAATGGTTTTCTGTGTCCGCCCCTACGATGAGTGCGCACACTTCGATAATTGAGGACAACTAGAGTTGCTCGCATTCTCGTTCGTGTTCTTGAGATCCCTTCCTTTTTAATATATCATTCAGTGGACTGAAAGAGCACTAGGATGCGACAACGCCGTGTCGGATGCGATCTGCGATACGATCGTTGTTGCCCAAACAGCCCTTGCCGTTGGAACCGACACCGATCGTGCGGCGAATTGCTATCAGGTGCCGAACAGCCATTCATAAACTTACCGTAACCATTGCGGTTTAACATTAATCTCAGTTTCTTCAGGCATAACAAGCGCGATTCTTGAAGAAATGAGAGCAGAGCAGATGACTCAAGATGTGTCCGAAAACGTGCGGATATTGCTGCTTGACTGACGCGTATAACTGTGTGAATAGAGAGTGTAGGTTACTTTTCAGTGTTTCCGAATAATGAGCGAGCAGATCCTGCTCCTTATGCTTATGCAGGCTAACTATATACCATTCTTCCATATACCATACCATAGACTCTTGCGAACCACTTTTCGAATCAAATTCGGACATCACCTTTACCAACGGGCAGTCTCGAGGAACTAAGCCCACTAACGTACTGCCGTAAGCCCCGCCCCAACCCTCCCGCCCACTTCTTAGCGCATCCGCTGTTTTCCAAATTTTTTTTATGATTTCTGCTTCTTCGAATTTTTTCACTTTTGCTACTTGACGCGCACACAGTAAATTGAATATATTGGCTACCGACACATAATACGACTCGCCATCTTCACGAAGGAAGCGACGGGAGTTCTGAAATTTATAACTTTTTTCAACGTTGTTTTTTCACATTCTATCTTCACAGAACGAATATAATCATGCATTTACGCAATAGCACACCAAGCCCCGCTCCTCTGGCTACCACTGTGTTTTTTCGCGGGAATTTGATTTTTCTGCCGACTCCGAACTTTCGCTTTTTTAGGTTGTGACAAGCGCGCCCGCACCCCTAGTGGAAGCTCCGCCACTTTGTAGAAGCCCCGCCCACTTTGATGCAGATCGGCGAGCTGGTGACGCCTCTCCCGTCACCTGGAACAAAGTTTCCCTTTTTTGTGGTCTTTCCCTTTTTTCATTCTATGCGACGGGAGAGGCCACAACCTGCTAGTACGGTCACTAGCTCGCCGACTGGCATCATTTTTAAAAGAAAGCGGGGCTGTGGGCGGAGCTTACATCAGGTGGGTGAGGCCGCTATTGTCACAGGCTGTGTAAAGAGCTGAAAATTTCGAAAACATCAAAATTCCCGCCGCAAAAACACAAGTGTTATAGCCGCGAGGGGCGCGGGGCTTAGTGTGCTAGTGCACAAATGCGCTGTGGCTATTAGTGCATTTGTTTTGTGAAGATTAAATGTGAAAAGAAAAGTCGTCGAAAAAAAGTTATAAAAATTCAGAACTTACGTCACTTCATTGTGAAGTGTGCGGAGTCATATATGTGTCGATAGCAAACCTTTTCAGTTGAATGTGCGTGTCAAGCAGCAGAAGTGAAAAAAATCAAAGAGGCAGAATTCATAAAACATTTGGGAAACCACGGCCGCTCTAAGAAGTGGGCGGGGATGTTAAGGCGGGGCTTGCAGCAGTACCTAGTGTGGTCTAGTTCTCAACTGCCCATTGTAAGGGGTGTGTCCGATTTGATTTGGAAAGTGACCGATTTGCTTTGAAAAGTGTCCGATTTAAAGTGAAAATGGTATAAAATGCATAAGACTAATACTTGTTCGGTGTTAATGCGGGCTGCGTGTTAAGGCGACTCGCGCATACATTGTAACTCCATATCCTCAACAGGCCGGAAAGGGTGTTGCGTCCCATACATCCACTTGAGCATGCGACTGCCTACAGTTATTTTTACAGGAATATTGTCTAATGACAGCACTTGATCCTGATCTTTCTTGTGCTGGATACGAAGATTACCATAACGAATTATGCCCCAAACCGAAACTATCCCCTCCCAGAACGCAAGCTGCCGTCAATTTCTAACTGAACTAGGGCAGATGGCCACGGATAATTGAGTAACTCGGCCTCAAAATGCTAGCGGGGGGTGCATTAGTAGTAAGGAATTTAAGAGAGAAATTGTGCATATAACGTGGAAAATTAGAAGAAAAAAAATTAGTGAAACGGTCAGAAACCGGCGCAAAGAAGAAAGCCCTGTTGTCCATAGATGAGTCGAAAAGCAGTTTTGGACGAGTTTCGTGGGCATCCTGCCAGTAACCGCGACACTAGGTACGGCTGCACGTATGTACTCATATATCCAGCACCCCAGCCGCTTCATATCAATCCCTTCGCTTCATATTCCTGCTAGGTCGTATTAATCCTACTCGTCGTAGGGATTTGTCGTGCCAACTGCTTTGACGAAGCCATGCCCTACCATACTCGGGATAAGGGGTACATGTATTGCCTCCTAAGTGAGCGCCGTAGGCATTGATTCTCTGGGATAGCGAACAGGCGGCATCCAAAAGTTAAAGTTGGCCATGCTGCTCTGCACCTCTTGGAGGCGGTATCAGGGAACTTAAAGGCACAGTCTGCAATAGTGGGTCTAGTGGAGATACACAATCACAGCAACCCCCTTCATTCATGCCCTCACCTTCTAATACGATCCAAAGGGAAGCGCATTAATTAAGACGGCAGAATAGGGACGGTTTATATCCCAGATCCTATCGCGGAGTACGAAAGGAGGCACATGTGTGCATGCCTGTGTGCCTTCAGAGGCCCATTGCTTCTCTGCTTTCAGTTCCTGGCGTGACATGCTCCAGCATCACTCAGGCTCAGTGCAAGGATCCCAAATGGCGTGAGATCATCGCACGTGACTGTTTTTTCTTTTTGTTTTTTTATTTATTTTTTGTCTTTCCCCAATGTGAGTGCCGGATTCTGTTCTGGAAGCGTAAAGTTTATTCAAAGGCCTACTTTCAGCAGAAGCGATTTGGATGACAGTCAAAATCTCAGGAGGATGTGTAGATGCAGCCATCGAGTGCGCTAACGATAAGAGCATCTGCAGAAACATTGACATGCAGGTTCGCGAAAACGCAGTACTAATTTAGTTATGACTAGTCAATAGAGATAAATTCCTTTTGAGGCATTCACAATGGCTAACTGCAAGAAGACATGCGGCTATTGTGAAAATTCATGTAAGTATACCTTTTCTTCCATCACCGCCTTTTATGAAAGACTAGGCCACGAGATTTAATATGGCAATGAATTTTCATAGACTCCCAGACAATCCTCAGTATTTCAGCTTCTACGTCCCCAGGAGGTTATACAGGAGGTTATACTAACTCGCCAGGCACATGCGTCGACAACAGTTCACGGTGAGAGCTGGTCTTTATTTGCAATTAAGCTAGAATACTTATAGCCTACCAAATGTGATATTGAAAGACAATCAAGTACAAAGCCTCCGTAGTGATGAGCGGGTTGTTGAGAGTGTCATAGTTGCTACAGCTCTCTGGGAGCAGTACTGGGTGCTCCGGTAACGAATGCGTAATCCCGTGCCAACTCTTTACTCTTATGGACACTGCTGTGCCTTCCCCGCCATTCTTCTGTCTGGACCCTCGTAGTCATCGTAGCTACACCCCGCACTGTCCCCAAATATGCACTGTACATAGCATATACGCTCTATCCAGGAATTAGGCGGGTCTCAGAGGTACCGTTGGTAACAACGCGTCGGCCCGCTCTCAAGAGCGTTGGACTGACCCCACCTTACGGCGTTTCCTCCACTGGTTGTTTTCTTCCTACACCGATCAATAGCCGATCACCATTGGTATGACAAAGCAGCCAGAGCAGCAAAGTAGCGCTCGTCCCGCCCTCCCCCCCCCTCACCGCCCGCACTGATTGCGATATTAGAAACTGTATGCGTGGCAGCGCTCAGAAAAGAGTCTGGAGACAAATATCTGAGGAATATTTGCTGTTGGCTCTGAAAACGCAATAACACTCAATCACTCATACTTAAACCCGAAGGAGTTTCCCGAATCTCACGTAATGCGTGCCACGTAATGCGTAATGCCAACTCTCTGCCTACCGTAAAAGACGTGAGGTGTGAGGACTGGGTGGAACCCTACTACGTTAGGAGAACTCATTGCTGTAACAGAATACTAATAACACTATTCAGATGCGCCTCATGGAAGTCGAATGGAT